AAACTAAGAAAAAAAAAAATTAAAATATCGTATATTTCAAATATCAATATTTAGTTAACCACGTATTGTTTGACAAGCAATATAACAATAAGTCTACACAAGATACTTCCTCGGCCATGAAACTTGTCACGTTTAATCCTTAGCTTAGTAAATTAAACGTGCTTTACGGATAACTCTACAGTACAATTGACATTTGCAGCAATAAAATGCAGTTATTAATAAAAATAAACATCAGGAGGCTTGCGTATACTTCCACTAATGATGCTCCAGGGCGTGACCTTCGGTGAAAATTTCTACCTTTTAATCACACCTATTCGCAAATCTGAAAAATGCTACAAACTGAAAGGCCATTCATTGGATAATAAATTTTGCAGTGTCTATTAATTTTTTTGACGAAATGGCAATTTTTTTAACGTCTTTGTATTTCAACATTATTTCGTGTTTATTCATATCTTTGGGTTATTTATAGAAGGAGGTTCTGTATGTTTATTATTGTATTATATGTTACGTGATAACCCGATAACGATAACTTTGTGAACCGATTTTGATAATTCTTTTTGTTGGAAGAGTTTTATTAGGATATCAATATCAAAGATATTAAAAATGTCAACAATCGTTGAAAGTAAAGTGCAATCATAAAAAAGTTTGAAATTAAAAATGAAAAAAATATTAATTTGAATACCAAATATTAACTTAGTATGCTCAAACATAATAATAGTGTTACCTTGAATGCTGTTCATTTATAAATTATTCGTAGATCAACTAATATAGATGGAACAATTAACATATCAAACAGAAAAAAAATAATCCTTTATTTAAAAAAGTGCACATTCACAATAGATCAATTATTTATTTGAGGATCAAATAATAATATCCCCTATTAATCTAACATCTGATAACTGGGCACTCCTCTAAGAAGGTTGGTTGTTTAATAATGTAGAGGTTTTAAATTGTCTCTGGGATTGGTAAAGGTGAGACAACCCACGCAATACACTGCGGTTTTTCCATGGAAGATTTAAGTTTTCGGAGAACCGGCATTTTTAGTATTTTGTATTTATTATTAGTAGGAGGAAAAAAAATATAGAACGAGGAAAATAAATAATCGGATATTGTTTAATCGTAGTAAAATATTTATACTATTTTATTAGGGGACCTTACAGCTACTTTTACAACGTGGGTTTAAATATTATGATTAATCAGATGTCCATTAAAAGCATGCACATTTGAAAATAAGAAAATAACATTACAATAATACAAAGTAACATATCAATGAGAACACAACAATCGTTTTATCAGTCACTTGTTAAGAAGTTATTTTACAGATAAGATCTTTGCGACCATCATCATTGCTTTGGTTATATAATGCTAATGATCTTGGTAGATAACTATTAATTCTAAAATTAGTACTACTAAATGGGACATGGAGCAAATTATTCTTACGAAATTTCCTAACTGGAACTTTGAGTATAATATTACTGAGGAGCTCTGGACAGTCAATCTTATTCTGAGCAATGTTCAACAAAAAATATACATCAGCTATATTATTCCGCACATTTAAAGGTAACAGATGAAATTTTTCACAACGGTGTATGTACTCCAAATGGGTGAGTTTAAATTTGTAATTTAAAAATCTAGTTGATTTCTTCTGTATCCTTTCAATGCGGTTTTTCCACACGCAAAATAGGCGCCTTGACGTCGAGTTGCGGACACCAGCCCGTTACACCAAGTAAGAAGTTCAATGCGGTTAGAGTAATTATTGTAGCAGGGATTCCAAATTTTTGATGCATACTCAAGATGGCTATCCTGCACATGTACCGGACCTCGTTGTTAAGAGCAGTTCAGATTAACACTTAAGATTCAAATTCAACTGTATGCAGCTTGTTATAAGAACGGTCCAAGGAGTCTAACTTAATGTGCTCTTGAATGTCCATAAAACTCAGTAAATGTTTTCTGTGCTGTACCAGGCTAGTCTGGTGCCTAGCGGTAGTGGTCTACCGCTTTATTTATTTCTACTGTAAAGCGGCAGTAACTTTCTCGATTGAAGGTTACGGAGAACTGGAGCAACTGGAGACTAACGTCTCACGACCGGCCTCACATTTGAGATTTTAAGAACAATTCTTTGATACGGCAAACGTCTATAGGTCGCGGTAATTACAAAAACATCGACAATGAAAGCAATCCCTAACATACCAACCACACCAACTTTGATTTGTAATCCCTAACAAAATAGTTGATAAAAAGAAATTAATTATATTTGTAATAATTTTTTTATGATACTAAGTGACGGGGCGGGAAGTCGAGAAGTTGACGCCTGGTGGAAAACGATACAACGTCCATAACAGTTGCAGTGCCACTCAGAGCTTTACAGTACAAAGATCTTGCTTCGGAAAGTTTAGTGCCGAAAGGTTTGTTTCACTTTGTAGGCCTGCTATGAACTTTATTTTCGGCCAGGTGGAAAGTCTGTTTGCCGGTACAAATATAGATTAATATTATTTCAGTAGCAATAACAGATTTTTTTTTAAAGGACTTAAGATCGTGCGCCCGTTTATGGATTATAAAGAATGAGAAGTTGTATTATTATTGTTTATTACTTATGTTGCTTGTCGTTTTATGATTACCAATTTTCAATTAAAAAAGCTCTAAAATAACAATTTTTTTTTATAAAAATCTAAGAGCGCATTGGACATCCATTTTACCTGATGGAAAGTGATGATGAGGTCGACGATGGAGCATGCACACCTAAATAAATTGAAAAGGTCCAAGTTATAACGTCCAGAGAGCAAGACTACAGGCAGGGAATTCCACTCCATAGCCGTTCGCTATATAAATGTTGAAACGTAAGGCTTCGTGCGAATCTTTGGAATATCCACAACATAGGGGTGGAACGCAAGCCTAAGTCCCCCGGTGGTGGAAGGGGAATTAAACCGTGTAATTCCATCACACACTCTCCGCGATATATTCATGATAATATCGATAAGCAAGTCGTTACTTATCGGCGTTACGGCGCTATTCAAGGCTCTGCAGCTTCGCCTCTACTAATTTCGGGTCACGTATAAGCCTCTTGGCACGCTTGTCAATTGAATCCAAGGTGGCTAGTTGGTATGTAGCAGAGCCATCCCAAAGGTGGCAGCAGTACTCCATGCACGACCGGGCTTGTCCTCGGTACAGCTGAAGCAACTGTCCCGGTGTAAAGCAACGGTTCATCCCGGAAATGAGTTAATAACAAGAGCAAGTAATAACAAAACAAAAATTGACAAATCTAATTAATGATATGAAACAAAGTTATAGTAGCCTAATGGTTTGACCTATCGCTTTGGCCGTGGATTCGAATCCGGACTTGCACCTCTCAGTTCCCGAAATTTTAGTGCGAAATTTAATTTGAAATTTTCAAGAGCTTGAGTGTGAAAGAGTGAAGGTAAATATCGTGATGAAACCTACACGTTGAAGAAGGTTCACAATCCTCGGAAAACGTGTGAAGTGAAGAAAAAGTATGTGGCAGACTATGACCAAAGCCCTGGCCCGAGAAGACGTGCTCAGCAGTGGCACGTATAAATGACGATGATGACTGAAATACGCCATGACTCATACGTTATTTGATTATAGTAAACATTGGTCTTACTGTTACAGTTCAATTTTAACTGTATTATCTAGCCTACCCTAGGTTATTGTTTGCAAATCTAGTTAAACTGGTTTTAGTATCAACTTACAATCTGTTTGTTCATATCCTTGAATGTCAACTAGGAGAAGGGCTTTACACGATTTCGCGAGACAAATTGTAGAGCGGTTTTTTATATCCGAGATTTTTAATTGTTTTTGTTGAAAATCCAGTATATCAGTTTTTTATAGCATCTGTTATATTTGCTACTAATTGGTTTCATTAATTTAAATGCACGGTAGAATCTGTGTCTCCGTGTGTTTTTTCGTGTCAACATTGATTTTGTCAATTTTGAATGTGTTGATTTTTCTAGTACATTATATTATGCGGTCTATTTGTATTGTTCAATGCCGGTGTTTTTCATAAGTAATTTATTTATATATTTATTTTATTCAACATGACGATGTTTTTCGGCTATGCTATTAATATATTTTTAATCGACTTCAAAAAAAAGGAAAAGTATCATCTTCACGGCTTTTATTATTAACAAAGTGTACATTAGTGAATGAAATAAAAAATTTTTTTACGCATTTTATATTTAAGCTATAACTACGTTGATTCACCAGGATTATTACAAATAAAGGCTTTAAACTTTTAAGTTTCTGAAGTTCTTTGTGTTTTAGTAGAATAAATAACTCTAAAAATGGTTTCTTTAAGTGTAGCTTACACTTCTATAATAGATTTAAATAACGCAACACGTTGTGTTGTAGCAACGTCAAAAATAAAAGTTTCTAAAACGGACCCCATTATTCGGAATATCCTTTCATACTTTAAGAGGAAAGTGGTTTTTTAGATTTATTTGCATCTAGTAATTTTTGATAAACTGTTTTACATTTACACAGTACTTATAATAATAATGCTTATTTATAAATTACAACTAATAAATTGGTTACAATATTTTTTATTTTTTTTATCCTGCCTTCTAAACAAGGGGATCCTGTATCTTAGGAGGCAGTACTTGCTTGCTAAATTGTTGTTTATATTTGTAGAACTCAAGATCTATTTGTTTTGATCAATGTTTAGTCTCACTTACCTGTTTTATGTCTACCTGCCCCCGTAGCATGTCTACGCATGATAGTCGCGACGCGCGCGATAAAATTGAAATAAGCGCGCGCTAATGGCTGTCTCAATCAGATCTAATTTAGATAGCCAATAGGGCTCGCTTATTTCAATTTTATCGCGCGCGTCGCGACTATCATGCGTAGCCATGCTACGAGGGCTGTGTTGTTCAAAAGGTGGAGACGAAAAATATTCCCACAATGAATTCGAACTTGCTATAGTAATACCCACAGAAATCCTTATAATTTTCAGATTTCTTTTATTGTAACTATTTTTTTCTTTTCAGATATTCAATAATGCCCGAAGCCCAGAACTCCGTAGTTTTCGGTACAAACGAGAAATGGCGGATCAACCGAAATATTTTTATCTTAGGTTTAGCTTTCATGATACAGTTCACGGCCTTTCATGGAACTGCAAATCTTCAGAGCTCAGTCAATAGTGATGATGGAGCTGGAACATTTACTTTGGCTGCAATTTATTTCTCTTTAATATTGTCTAATATTTTTTTACCTGCCATTATTATAAAGTGAGTGGCGTTTGAGTTTTTTTATGGCTTACTTTAGTCATTAACGCAGAACGTTTTTTGAAACAACTAAAGTAGGGATATGGTTTCGACTATGATTTCTGTAATAAATAATTCTTTTTTTACTTTAATAATTTATTGCACAGAATAAAACAAAAACACGTTTAGTAACAACGAAAACACTAACAAATGGTACTGCTTTTTCTAACAGAAATTTCTTCCTGCAGACCTAAACAGACAAAGACAGGAGACAATAATTACAATTACGGGTTTACGTGCACAACAAAACCAAAATTATGTAATTAAAAAAAAATCAATAACATTAAATTATTAAAACTATATAAATACTGAAATAAATACATATTTCGTACTACTACTTATAAAATGGATGGACAGTCGATAACGACATTCGAGTCTTTACTCTTATTTTGAAACTTGCTAATATGAACGTTCCCTAATTCAGTTATTTATGTAAATACAGTTTATATAGAAGTTGACATGTAACAAAAATAAGTATATTTTCACTGTGTCCGGTCAAACTTTAAGCATTCGAACATATTGAAGGTAGGTATATAGTACATTAATAGACGTGCACTTCAACAGATTAAACTTATTGAATACCATGATGTTAACTACCATGGTATTCATATTTATTAAACTAAACTTGGTACATAGATGTATTTACAACGAAAATAAATTGTTATAATGACCATTCAAATTAAGCAGCAGTAGAGCTCCTTGTGAAAGAGTTCGTCCAGGGAAGTACTGCCACCTTACCTATTCCTGCTGCCAAGCAGTAATGTGAGCATTATTGCGTTCCTGTTTTGGATTTGTCAACTTATGTCTCAGGGTGACAGGCGCAGTGTCAGTGCCCCTCAGATCTTTGCGATTTGAAACGCTTTGTGGCACAGCAACAGTTATGGACAGGCTGGTAGCTTACCACCAGACACACGAGTTGTTCGTCCCTGCACTTGATATTATAAAAAAAAGACTGATTTAAGTAAAATTTGGCTAATAGATGTAAGTCCACAAACTTTTGTGGTTGGTTTTTTATTTTATAAAAAAGTTATTTATTTCGGATCTAAATCGATACATTTGTTTTTTTTAAAGTAAGTTTCGAGCCCTTTACAGCTCCCTTCATGGCTGATTCACTTTTAGAAATTGTTGGGTTTTCATGCAGATATCGATTTCATATGCGATTGAATGGAAATAGGGCAACATCAGACAGTCCATTGTTGCATTGTATGAATGCGAATGAACACCATGAATGCCAATTTGACAGTGACGAGAACCATTTTTGATTATAAGCGCTATGGTAGTACAATGCACAAAATACACACATTAGATGTGACATGATTTGGTTATTGCCGTATAATTTGACTTAATTAAGTGCTAACGCCAGTAATTCCTGTTTCATTGCACTTGAAGGTTTACAACTTTGCTTTTTTTGTATGAGCATCCTGCTGCGAAAGTTTAGATAGACCGTGTTTTATTAAAAGTGAAGGCTAAAACGATACTTACTTTATTGATTTTCTAAAATCGTATTTTTATCGACAATTCCATTATGAATTTTTAATTGCAGTAGAGACTCCTTGTGAAAGAGTTTGTCCCGGGGAAGTAGTACCATCTTACCTATTTCTGTGAATCTGTGTGAAAGTTTGTCGTCTCACACGCCTTTCATTATTATCAAGTTACTACGAAACCAAATTGATTGTCCGATTTTACTAAGCCAAATAAGATTTAGACTGTCTTATCCATCACCTCTTCGAAGATCCAAGTTTTGTGCGAACTCACCCATATACAGAATTTGTAATATAAATAGTATAAAAAGTGAATATTTGTACGTACATGCAGATTAGTTGCCTTTGTTTTTGAAAAATATTGAAATAGCGTTTTGTTGTAAAGACATAGGTAATTATAAGTTATTTGTTTCTAATAATATTGTATAGTTAAGTTACAAAGGCTTCGTTTTTCATTTTTTGCTTGTATTTACCTGTAATTAACTGTGCTTTAAAACCACAAATCGATGTAATTAGTAAATAAGTCACAATGTAATAGCTGTTGATAAACAAAAAAAAATAAAATTTAAATATGCGATTGTGTGCGTCTGTAGCGGCGCGCGATATGTGTACACACATACAAGCCGCGCTGCTACATTTGTACGGAGTTACATTACTTGTACTATAGTACAATATTAATTTCCATCAGATGGCTTGGCTGCAAATGGGCTGTGGCTGTGTCATTCATTGCATACATGCCGTTCATCGCATCTCAATTCTACCCTCGGCTATACACGCTCGTACCAGCTGGAATGATGGTTGGATTTGGTGGAGGACCGCTTTGGTGTGCTAAGTGTACTTATTTATCTGTGGTAAGTTTTAATTAACGCGTACATTCTCATAGCCCCGCACTAAAGAACACTCAAACTCACGAGAGATCTAAATGGCCGTACAAATATTTCTCCCGCCCAGGGAATCGAACCCGGGACCTCTGCGTGCAAACCAGCAGCACGGAGTCAGTTTTTAATTGTGCAAAGTTCGTACAAAAATTAATTATTTCACCAGGTTAAATAAATCAATCGCTTGAGCACTATGAGCATTTATTGTTTAAAAACGGGATATTCATAGGAAATACGACGTACGTTAATATTTAAAACAGGAAGTAATTTTAAGCGTGCTGGTGAAATTATAGGCACAAGGGTCTTGACGACGGGGTGATGGGCGCTGAGGCAGTGCTTCTCAGATATTTGCGATTTAAGGTTCGGAGTGGCACTGCAACTGTTATGGATAGGCATGTAGCTTACCATCAGGTGCACGACTCGTTCGTCACGTCACTTGATATTATAAAAAAAATGCAAGAAAAAAGACACGCGTACATGAAGGACTATCTATCTCGAACAAATTTTAATGGCGTACTCTCGAATACTATACTGCCCTGTCATAAACTAACGTGATCGCATTTTTAACGAAATTGAGTTATTAATATATCTTGGATCAACCAAACGAGATTCATAACCTCCAGTAACCGGTTTTCTTATACTGTATTTAGTTTCAGTTTTATTGTTAAGTAAAACTAGTGTATTTGTTATTATTTACTAGCAAAAAAAAGCTTTAGGTGCTATATCACGAAAGTTACCTAATGTACAGACACATTAAGACAAGTAAGGCAACATATTATAGTTGTCAGATTACATTATATTGTTTTTAGCCGACTTTGAAAAAAGGAGGAGGTTCTCAATTCGACTGTGTTTTTTTATTTTTTTTATGTACGTTAAGCGATAACGCATTTGTCAACTGATTGTGGTGATTCTTTTTTGTTGTAAAGAGGATACCTCAGAAGTGGCCCCATTAAGTTTCAAGAAAATAATCCACCTCTAAGGGTGGAAAACTAGGCTTTGAATGACTTTTGAGGTCCGTTTTTTTAGTACCCTGTACTGAGATTATTAATTTTTAGCCCGTACTTTTTTCAGATTGGTTCATTAAAAAAAAAGATATTGAAACTGTAATTATTTTTCTCTTGCAGGTAGCCGAACCTTATTCACAATTATCAGGAGTACCAGCAGACGTGTTAGTGGTTAGATTCTTCGGTCTCTTCTTCATGTTCTATCAAATGGCTCAGATTTGGGGAAATCTCGTCTCTTCAGCCAGTAAGTGATATTACCTGATATTATACAGTTGTTAGAAATTAGAATGCTCAGTTGTTGTAAGGATTTTTTAAATAATATTGCTTGCCATTGTGGTGGAAGATTTCTAGCCAATCGAGACGTTTTCGTGCATCCCAAATCTAGTTAAAACCAGAAGGAAATTTTCATGAAATTATTGATTCATACCACGTTCGTAAAGTTTAATAGCGTTGTTTTTAATATAATATATCATGCATTACCCTGAAATAACTTCGTGGCTTTTTGCTTATATTATATAGCACACGAAATACAAAAGGTTATACGAGTTGTTGTGGTGTCCTTTTTTAGCAAAAAGCCCTTTTCTGTCCTTGGCTACATTTGAAGGAACTCATTTATATATAAATGGATATAGCAATTCGTTTTTAGCCAATGTTTTTGTTAGTACACATTACACTCTTATCTTGTTTCCTTGTTACTTGTGAAAAAATAAAATAAAAATAATGACAAAAACCCATAAAATAAGTCATGCGTGCATTTGCGTATTTTGTTTATTTTGTCAAGGTTGTTGGAATGTTTTTGTTTGTGGTAAATTAGTATAAGTAGCTTGATAAATTTAGAGCAGTGTTTAGAGAAAGCTATTTATATCTAACAGCTGGAGTTAATTGTAGGAAATAGGAAGTGAGAATAATTTAATGGTTTCTATTACCAACTCGAGTTTTGTCAGTTTTGTCCAAGATGTTTAAATTAAATATTGTATATATAATAAACGTATTCAAATGTATATTTACAAAAGCAACCTCTGGAGTTTCTTGCCCATTCTTCTCAGGGGAATCTACCTACGAAAGAGCAGTAGAGTTTCATCAGTATGACGATTTCAAGTGCGATTTGCTTACCTATGAAATAAAGATTATTTGACTTGGACTTTGTTCCTCCCGGCGCTTGGTATTATATAAAAAAATCATTTACACATTTATCATTTACAATATTGTGCAATGTCATAATAAATCGAGATAATCTGAAAACGCTCAACGGGTCATTACCACAGAGTTTTGTCATCCAAGTACGCACGACGCAACGACGACGCAAGCACATAAAAAAATTCGTGAGGTCCGTTGGTTCGTTCCGTGGCTTAGTTGGTATAGCATCTGGCACGGTATGCAAGAAGACGTCGGTTCGAATCCGACCGGATCGAAAGAATTTTTTCTGAGTGTTCGATCTTTGTATTAATATTTATAACAAACTAGTGGAGTAATTTCACAAAAAATAATTGAATATCAATTCAATAAAAATTTAAAAAATATTTTTTTGTTAATAAGTGTTACATATTGCATTGTGACGCTAGTGTAAGAATGATAATGTCTTTATTTCGAAAAGTAATGTGAAGTATTCAACCCTGTCCACGCCTTAGCTCCCTCCTTAGAGACCTGTGCCCATCTGTGAGATGAGTTGTTGATGTTGATATCTTTTAGAATGTTATCTTGGTTTGTATAGAAAATATAATAATACTGAAGCGCTAATATCAATTAGGATCCCCCATAACAGGTCACGCATTCATTCTCTAGCCGGAAGGAGCGCAGTGAAAGTTTAGTTTACTATGCCTTCAACCTTGAGGCGTGTATCCGAAATGTGATTACAATTTGAACAGCTGACATTGCGCCATTGTCACTAATGTCATGTAAATGGTAGCTCATGACTGTCTTTGACCTTATATGATATCAAGGTAAAGTATTTATATTTTATTCTATGTTCTGTTGCTAATGTACGGTACACCTCCACCAAATTAACCGTCTTTTGCGAAGACTGCGGCCAGTGACAAACTGAATCTGAATCAATATTTTTTTTTCAAAAAGTTTAATATCCTGCCAAAATAACTGACTTGGCAAGCACGCTCTAAAACAAAAATGTATGTATTTAACAATTAATTAGTTGGCTAGGATTTAGAAAGCACTTCTCTACTAATGAAAAATGACAGTTACAATCAAATAGAACAATAAAATATTTTGTTAGTTTTTCAAAAGGCGTTCAACACCAACAGTGCCTTATATAAGTTCGTTTTTCTTATTAATTTCTTTGATACATGTGGGACTTTTTGTAAAGAACCGCATATACAAGGTATTTCTTATTTATTTAGCCTACACTCTTAGTAATTCATTGGATTGCCTAACGTTTATCATTAATTTACGTCTATTTTCTATTACCTTCCTCCGTGGTCGAACGGTTATCATGCCGGACTGCCACGCAGAGGTCCCAGGTCCGATTCCCGGACCGGGAGAAATATTTGTACAGACTAGTGTGTGCGTTATTATTATTATTTCATCATGGAAAGGAATAACAATTAATTTTAAATTTTTACTACTACCTACCTTAATACAAATAACAAGGGTTGCTATGCCACGATCCTTAGACCAATTAAATAATGTCGTGACAGATTAGTGATTGATATAGTGTAATAAATATGCATTTGTAATAAGGTTTTTGTTGACAACTCGTGATCGGGAGCTTACATGAATAGACCTTGACACTGATAATGTAAAATGCAATTTGGTTGAAGGATTTTCGACCAAATGGACATTTCAGGCGGAATTAAATACATATGTTCACTAAATATGCATAATATAGAAAAACAATAGAACAACTTAAAAGAATTTGGAAGAAGTGAGTAAATTCCTGAGCATAAGCGGTGGTAAGCGACACGTCTTTCCCGAACAATTGCAGTGCCACTCAGAGGTTTAAATCACAAAGACCTGAGGGGCATTGCCACTGCCCCCGACACCTTGAGATATAAGTTGACAAGTCCCATGTGCCTGTAATTTCACCAGCACCCGTACCCTTCAAAACCGGAAGGCAGTAATGTTCCCTGGACGAACTCTTTCATAAGGAGCTTTACTGCTACTAAAATTACTGTCAAATAAGTAATATTCGACCACATCAAAAGACAATGTCAAAAAAGGATTTTTGTTTCGTCGTTTTCTAGGCGATGATTAAACGACAAAGATGGTTTATACGCAATTTCATATCGTTATCTTTGTTTTTCGAAATGTATAACAATAGATCATTACCAAATAAACAAAAGAATGAATGACTCTAGTGCGGTATCTTACCGATACAGTATTCGCAATAAAAAAAAATGGCAAGATAGTTATATCAACTGAAATAAATATGTCACGAGGAGGTTTATCACACATTGCGTGTGATATACTGCCACGCTACGGCCGCTGAAATGTTTTGGAATGAAAATATATTTACATACACACGAAACTTTTAGATTTATTGCTTATAACATTGCTTAGAAATAAAGATATCCATATTCATTGTTGTCAATTTTAATGATTGATTATGTATGGTATTGTGCGCTGAATTCCCATGAATATTTTTTTTCTCAATGTTGCTAAATCAATAAATTTTTTAGGGACGTCCTATTCAAGGTCAGGGCCTTGACTTTGATCATGTTATGGGTATTTTATGGTGTCAGTTGCGTAAAGTTTCCGGTTCAGTTCTTATGATTCATATTATAAAAAACCGAATAAAGAGAACAGCAACTCAGTTTATACATTGCAAAAGATCGGTATGGATAAATTTAATTTGACATTATTTAATTTACCTATTGGACAAGAACATACCTATCGGTTGAAGTGTATTAAAAATAGTGTTCCGTTGCGTATTAATTAGCGTTGCCTATTGTGATTGAAGAGACTTAGCTTATATACGAGTAAGTTAGTAGCAGTAGAGCTCCTTGTGAAAGAGTTCGTCCAGGGAAGTATTGCCATCTTACCTATTTATTCCGCCAAGCAGTAATGTAAGGCTGCTGCTGAAAATACAGGCACATGGGACTTGTCAACTTATGTTTCAGAGTGACGGCACAGTGGCAGTGCCCTTCAGATCTTTGCGATTTAAAGCTCTGAATGGCACTGCACGACTTGTTCGACCTGTCATTTCATCATGTAAGCCGGAAAACGTCCAGACCAGCCGATCGGACGCGACGTGCATCTATCGGTTCCCCGCCGCCCTTACCAGGTCATCCGTCCATCTCTTAGGGGGCCGTCCCACTGAACGCTTTCCGGTTCGTCGTCACCATTAAATAACCTTTATGCCCCAACAGCCGTCAGTGCTACGAGCTATGTGCCCTGCCCACTGCCACTTTAACTTCCTAATCCTTCGAGCTATGTCGGTGACTTTCGTTCTTCTACGGATCTCCTCATTTCCGATTCGATCACGTAGAGAAATGCCGAGCATTGCTCACTCCATAGCTCGTTAAGTAACTTTGAGCTTTTTTATGATGCCCATAGTAAGTGATCACGTCTCAGAGCCGTAGGTCATCGCTGGCAACACGCACTGTTCGAAGACTTTTGTGTTCAAGGACTGGGGTATTGCGGACTAGAAGACGTCCCGGAGCTTCCCGAAAGCTACCCAACCGAGTTGGATTCGACGATTGACTTCACAGACATATATCTAGATTAATTTGTCTGTGATTGACCTCTTTATCGAAGTTGGCCCTGCCTAATTGGACGGTTTGTCCGAGTTAGACATACTCGTCAACAACTTCGAGAGAAGAAGTTCCCACTGTTACAGGGGTGGGTACGACATGGACATTCGACATAAGTTTCGCCTTGTCCATGTTCATTTTTAGACCCACCTGCTGGGAAACTCTATTGAGGTCACCGAGCATTGTGCTATGCTCTTCCAACGATTCTGCCATAACCACGACATCGTCAGCAAATCGAAGGTGAGTGATGTACTCGCCATTGATGTTGATGCCGAGTCCTTTCCAGTTCGACCCTTCACTTGATATTATTAAATAGAGTTTATATATAACATTAACTTGTCATTGTATACATATAAGTTAACCTCTTCCAATACAGCGGTGGTAGCCTTGTAGGGGAATGGACGCTTCTCAATCGATAGGTCGATGGGTTGAGTCCTGCGACAATGTCCGGACATAGATAACAACGTGTCCCGGGCGTCTCCTCGCCATTAGGCCCTCGTCTAGACTGCTACTAAGACGCGCTAGCTGCGCGCAGGACGAACGCTCCGGCCACATACTACCGGGGCAGATAAACGTGTTCATCCCTGCAGCTAACCACAAGCCCCAGTCCCTCTCTCTCGGGTCGGTAGATAGGGACAATCGCGACATGTACAGTCAACAACACATCAAGATATATTCTTTTATTCGAATCCAGCGCAACGGAAAACGATCCGTCAATGTCTAGCTCAATATGCTGCCTTCTGTAGAGTTCGTACCTGCGACATTAATTTCTCATAACAACGTACTATTGTAAATAACATTTACAAAAATATTTAGCATACTTTCGTAAATGTTTAATAGTAATACTTATTTAACTGTTTCCGTGGCTGAACGGTTACCATGATGGTCTGTCAGGCAGAGGTCCCGGATTTGATTCCCGGACCGGTAGAAATATTGGCATTGCCTACATTTATTTCTCTCGTGAGTTTGGACGTAATTTGTGGTTGTCTATGTGTGTGTCTAAAGTACCCGAGACACAGGGTTTCCCTAGGGCTATGAGAATAAAATATAAAACCTCTCGCTAAGAGTGAAAGAAAACTACATAATAAAACTTGCACATCGAACAAGGTTCACAGCCCTTGGAAAACGTGTGACGTCTCCAAACCGCAATTGACCAGGGTGGCGGATTATAGTCTAAACCATCTCATTAGAGGAGACCTGTGCCCAGCAGTGGGATGTATAATGGGTAGCTGATGACGAAGAATGTTACGAACGTTACATTTTCATGGTATTTAGACGTAACCAGAAAATGGTATTCACCGATTATGAGAAATTTGCGGTACTAAAATATTCAAAGTCAAATTCAAATAATAATTTATTCCAAAGGTAAAATAAATTTACACTTGAAAACGTCACTGTTAAGCGACTGCTCGTTCACTATGCTGATTTCCCTGAGAAGAACGAGCACGAAACTATGGAGATTGCTCTTTTCAAATAAAAATATAAAATACACTTTAAATCAAATTTGTGTGGAATCTAGAGCCATATCGTTTTTCCGTACATAAAGATGTACCTATCTAACACGTATTCTTCAATTACGTAATATTACTTTTCAATTAAAATATTTTGATTGTAGGTTAAAAATATTTTAATTACTTAATTGAAAACTAAAAAAACTTAGGAACTGATGATCTTTTCCCCATAAAAGAGTCGTTTACCTTGGTTAAACGAAATCGTGGTAATATGAGTTTGGACTTAGCTCTAAGGTTAATATTATGGATGTCTTCTTTCTTAATGAAATTATGTATATTTTTACGGCCATATAAAATATTTGAGTAAATGTATTTACTGTGATACTACAGTCATGATATCAGTCTCCTTAAACTTTTCTCTGAGAGAAACCCGAGAACCTAAACGGGCTGTTAAAATAAATTACATTTCTTCGGGAACCGCAGAATTCGACGACTCAAGAAAATCATTTTTCACATTTTTTTTGTCCGTTAATAACTTTTTTACTTCCTCAGTTCTCTCTTCATCTCTTGGCGAAGAACAGATGCCAGCCAATGAGACTCTGGCTCCGACGGCATCAGCTCTGGTCAACTTCACAGTTCCCAAGGTGGACTTTGGTGCTACGTGTGGAGTTAACTTTTGTAGCAGCAGCGCATCACATGTAAGAAAAATCAGTTATAACCTTAATAAGGATTCTTAAATAATAAATAACAATAATAAAAATAAATAAATAATGCACACAATCAACATAATTCCATATTAGGGAAACCCTGTGTCGCGGGTGCCATAGACACACTGATAGACAACCACAAATTAGACCCAAACTCACGAGACAAATAAATGTGGGCCATACAAATATTTCTCCCGCAACGGGAATCGAACCCTGGACCTTTGCGTGGCAGTCCGACATGGTAAACGTTCGGCCAACGAGGCAGTAAAATAATAATGATAATGTACCTCAATCTAGGGAATGTCTTGTACTACGAATACCAGGGCAACGGAATTCACTTTGGGGCACTTTCCAGAACACCCAGATCAGAACCAATATAGAAAAATTAATTTCCTAATTTGGTCCTACCGGGAATCGAACCCAGCGTCTACAGTGTAAACCGTTGGGCCACAGAGGTCCAAAATATTCCTCATGAACAAGAAATTAACTAGATATAGATCATATTTTGGATGTTTTATTGTTTTTTTTAGGTAAAATTACAGACACATGGGACTTGTGAGCTTATGTGTCATTGAATTTGGTAAAAAAATTTTTTGTATATCGTCTATAGCGTGATATAATTGCAATGTTCTATTCAAAATTAAAATAAGGTATTTAAATAATAAATGTTGAGTGTGTGCGTTATTATTATTATTATTATAACGTATTTTAAAATACATATTTTAATAACTTTTGTAACAAAAGTTATAGGGTAGTTTGCATTTGTATTGAAAGGGAGAGATGTGGTGTATTGCATAACTATTAGACTTAACTGGTTGATGACTTTACCATCTCAGTCAGACATACCAATAAAGTGTTCGAAACGTTTCTTTGTATGAAGAAACAAATATAATTACATAATGAAATCAGGCGTTACTTTGCGGAAGTCCATGTTAATAAAAATGGAAGTAAATTAGTTTGTTACTCCGCGAAGCCAGTGAAGCATAAAGCTATAATATTTTTTCATACAGGTAATTATCCCACCCTCCCTTCGCATAAAATAAACACACAAGCGCAACTACACTCGCAAACCACCACCAAAAATATACCCGACACGTGTTTCGCCTCTCCACGAGGCATCCTCAGGGGCTGTTGATTGCTCGACACTCGGCGGAAGGGTTCTTCGGAGTACTAGAGTTGCGGAGTAGCAAATTAATTTACTTCCATTTTTATTAAATATAATTACGCTTAGGAATGAAACTATTTTTCCGGATTTAAATCGCGTATATTTGTTTTTTCAAACAAACCGACGTTTCGGGCCCTTTACAGGTCCCATGGTCACGGTTGACTGACCAACCGT